GGAGAGGCGCAGGATGAGTTTGGAAGGGTCTGCTTCGCTGTGTCCTAGTTTGCCCTTGCAGTGGCGCAGCAGGCCATTCCGGGCTGGGAATGGGTAATCGATGCTATCCTTACCCACATCCCAAATGATGACTAAAACCTTCAAAGAGCCTGAACTAAAACATGGCGCTAAAGCTAAACTGGAAATGTCATCGCCCAGAACAAACTTGGGAAAGTTGGCGTGTGGGACACAGTGACTGGGAAGGGGTGGGACAGTAATAGAATTAATTTCAGATTGCTGTTTCCAAACAGTAGGCTGTTCCCACGAACCTGCCCGGAATGAAGTACCATGATCTGACTCCCAGACATTTCCGATTTGCACTACCTGTACGAGCATGCATTGCCATCAATTAGAACCAATAGCAAAGAGCGGGGGAGTAGGATGACAGAGAGAGAGAGAGAGAGAGAAACTGTGCCCCCATTCTCAATGATCCAGGGATGATTTGATCTCAATGTGGCCTTGGGGCTGGCACCCTGGCCGCACATTGTGTCAGGGTGTGAGGTGGGCACCGCCTGGTGAGCTGGCAAACCAATCCGAGAGGGTCTGTCCAACAACAGGGAGCCTCCCCAGGTTGGATCGATGGTGCGTGTTGTTCATCGCTGTCTGAGCTCAGGACCTCAGCTGCCTCTGCCTCCTCCCCCTGATGTTGCCGGACTCTCCAGCACACTGTCACCCACACAAGAGTTGGCCTCAGCACCGTGGTGGGAGAGAAACGGTTGAGTGTAGCAGCATGCCTTCCCTGGTTTAATGTAGCGAGAGCGCTCCTTTCAGAAGGGGTAAGACATGAGGAAACTCGTTTCTGTGCTCCCTTGCCCCCCTCCCCCTGAAACCCACAGAACAGTGGCACTCCCTCAGGTGGCTTCACACGTCTAGAATAAGCAGCTCGTTCGGATAAGAGGGCGGCTAGCGCCTGCAGAGACAGAGAGAGTTCAAACTCCTCAAATTATAACCCACAGAGCACCGC